TTTTAAGATCCAACTTATAAAATCAGATCTAAAATTTGTTTATACCAAATCACTAACATCCTTACATTTTATTTTTTGGCATTTTCACTCTTATTTCCACATTTCATTGCACAAAATGTCATTTTTATCTATTTTCTCAATTAAAAATCGTGAGATTATGAAAATACCCTTCTATTTAAATAAAACAAAAGGAAAAATAAAAAATTAATTGCAAACATAATCCCAACTTTTTTTAAAAGCGCAAATGATTCCCAAATAAATTATTAAAAGGGTAATTAACACATAATATCCGTACATTTCATTATTATTGCAAAAAATGTCCCTAGCTTTTATTTTTTTGGCATTTTCTACCTTAATTATACATTTGATAGCGCAAACCATCATTTCTATCCATTTTCTCAATACAAATAGTGAAATAACGAATATACCATCATATTTAAATAAAAAAGCTAAAGAATTAATTGCAACAATAGTCCCAATTTTTTTAAAAAGTGCAAATGAGTCCCAATAAATTATTTTATTTTTTTAATAAAAAGTGCAAACAAGTCTCAATTAAATTTACTTAAAAATTTAAAAAATTTAAAAGTGCAAACGAGTCCCAAATAAATTATTAAAGAATTAGAAATTTAAAAAAATATTTTTTTAAATATGAGGATATATTCATTATTTCATAGTTCTTTATTGAGAAATTGGATGAAAATAATGATTTGCACAATCAAACATGTAATTATGGGTGAAAATGCCAAAAAAAATAAAAGGTATGGACGTTTTTCACAATAAAGGTAAAAGATAAGGACATTATGTACTAATTACCCTTTTAATAATTTATTTGGGACTCATTTGCGTTTTTCAAAAAAATTGGGATTATGATTGCAATTAATTTTTTTCCTTTTGTTTTATTTAAAGGAAAGGTTATTTTCGTCATTTCACAATTTTTATTTGAGAAAATGGATGAAAATGACCTTTTGCGCAATGAAAAGTTGAAACAAGGGTAAAAATGCCGAAAAATGAAAGGTATAGACGTTTTTCACAATAACAATTAAAGGTGGAGACGTTATGTGCTAATTACCCTTAAATAAAACAAAAAAAAAATGAAAGAAATAATTACAACTATAGTCCCTATTTTTTTTTAAAAAAAAAAGTATAAACGAGTCCCAAATAAATTGATAAAAGGGTAATTAGCATATAATATCCCTAATTTTCACTATTATTATGAAAAACGTCCATACCTTTCATTTTTTGGCATTTTCTCCCTTAATTATATATTTGATTGTGCAAATCATCATTTATATCTATTTTCATCCAATTTCTCAATAAAAAGCTATGAAATGACGGATATACCCTTTCATTTAAAAAAAAGATAAATAAAAAACTAGTTCAATCATAGTCCCAATTTTTTTTAAAGTGCAAAAGAGTCCCAAATAAATTATCTAAAATTAGAAATTTTAAAAAAATCTTTATATTTTTATTTAAAGACGAGTGTGTGTTCGTTATTTTAAAATTTTTATTAAGGAATTGGATAAAAATGGATAAGAATGATGATCTGCGCAATCGAACATATAATTAATGGTGAAAACGTCAAAAATAAAATAAAAATGAAAGGTATGGACACACAAAAATAGTGAAATATAGAAATGTTATGTGCTAATTACCCATTTAATAATTTATTTGGGACTCGTTTGCACTTTTTTAAAAAAATTGGGACTATGATTGCAATTAGTTCTTTCTTTCTCTTTGTGTTTTATTTAAATAGAAAGATATATTCATTATTTCACAACTTTTAATTGAAAAAATGGATAAAAATGACATTTTACTCAATGAAATGTGGAAATAAGGATGGAAATGTCAAAAGAATGAAATGTAAGAACTTTTTTCACAATAATAGTAAAAGGTAAGGCTAAGTCAGTTATGGAAGATGAATGAACTTTATCTTGATGAAACTCTTAAAATCGCTGTGAGAATGGATTGGAACTGCTAACTAAATTCTTAATATCCAAGGATTATCTTTAAGTTCGAAGGCATAGAGAATGTTTGGCGGAACTCACGAAACGAGGCTAACCAATTAATGAGAAAAAATGTTAGAAGAAACGATTGATGCTGTATG